AACAGTCCTTTAACAGATGTGCCTCTTGCAAATATTTTCTTCCAGTCTGTGACTTGTCTTCTAACTCTCTTGACAGTGTCTTTAATTTGCACTTCCCTAATGGCTAATGTTGGTGAACATATTTTCATGTTTTTTTTTTTTTGCCATTTAGTGAAATATCTGTTTGTCTTTTGTTCGTTTTCTAATTTTAATGTTGAGTTTTGAGAGTTATCTATGTAATCTAGATATAAGGCCTTTGTTGGCTAGGTGTAATCATATTTAAAATTAATTTCAATTATGTAAGTAGTACGTGAAGGCATTCTTCACTTAAAAATGTTAAGATAGACAAAGTTTAAACCCCAAATCTTTACGTTTTCACCATCTGCTCGTGGGTAACCATTATTATGTATTTGAGGTATGTCCATGTAGCTTCTAAAAAATAGCTTTCTCAAGATAAACTCTTAGAATGCATATGGTGTTGTTTGTATATGGGTTTTACAAAAAAGTTATAATGTTAGTATTGCGGCGCAAGGTGCAGTTTTGACCCAAGAATATTTTAGAGATCTCTCTATGCTGATACATCTCTCTAGTCTGTTCCATTAAACTGCTGCACGGTATTGATGGCATGATGAGGTTATGTTTAAGCCACTCCTCTGTTTGCAGACATTTAGGTAATTCTCAGTGTTGTTCTAGGAAACAGTGCTACAGTCAACTACCTATACGTGACCCTGGGCACATGTGCAGTTGCTTTTTTAGAGAGATATAGAAAAGGGGAATTTTGTGAACATTAAGGTATGTGCTTTTTCTCTTTTAACAGATCCTGCCATATTGCGTTCCAAGATGTGTGCTTTCCCCACGTCTTGGCCAACAGCCACGTATCTTTTGAATATAAGACCCACCTACTGTTTTGTATCCCATTTGTCTACCAACTGCAAAGAGGAGGTCTAGGTGCGCCTTGAAAAGGAGTGGGCTTTAGATATGTTGCTGGTGAGAGTCATACGGAGAGCATCCTGTGTCACAGGGCCTGTGCCCATGCGCTTTTGGTTCGTCTCTATTTATTAGAAATTGTCGTTGACTGGAGGAGACTAAGGAGACATGAAGATGATGTTCAATGTGGGTTCTAAGCTCCCTTCTAAGCCAACTTCTAGGTATCCAGGGAAACCATCTAAATATCTTTCTGCCAAATCCGGAGTCCTTTACAGAGGTCAAGCCATCAACAACCAAATACAGAGTTGGCACATGACAATGCACCTCTCACGGCACCACCTGACATTCCTTGCACGTCCTCCAAAGACGAGCGCCCCCATCAGCAAAGGCCCAGGAAAAGTAAGCTCTCCTACCAGCACCTTCCCCTTGCAGTTCACAAACCTTGACCCTTACTTTTTGGCTGTTTCAAACACTCTGCCCTTAGGAGCATTTTCTAACTGCTAGGAGGTTTGCAAGCACCTAAGCTGTTTGCTTTCTTTGGGGCTCTTGATAGAAATGATCTTGTTCTTCTAACAGATTAGCTATGCAAGTTACCACGGTCTCATAGCTGCCCTTAAACAGATTTTAAGTGCTCTCCTGCCCCCTCCCTCTCCCCAGAAATGGTGTTTCTCTAAGGACTGGGAATACAGTTGGCCGAACGCCCCTTCCCGCCCACCTCCATGTGTCTATAGGCCGTTATCCACAACAGCTGCACGCAGCGCTGCTGGAGCAAAGGCCTGGGAAATTACTTTGCAGTTAGAGAAATATGGGATGAAAGCTTCTGGCCTGCCAAAGAACGCTGCCTCTCTACTGATGTTATGGAAAAAGCCCTGTAAGGCTGGCTCCACAGCTGAGCGCTGCGCAAGGTTTCCCCTCCCGCACTCCATCATTCTCTTAGCAACCGGGCTGTGCGCACAAGAGGCCTCTTCCGTCCTCGGCGGCCTCTGCGGGCTCCCCGGGACAGTCACTGGCTAGGTGGCTGCAGCCCTGGGGAAATCTTGGCCGTTTCCCACCTTAGCACAGGCCACTGAATAATTAATTCTCATCTTCTTTACTGTGCATGGAGTCGGGAGCCAGACTACTTTGCTTCCAATCCCAGTTACTAATTACTAGCTCTGGGGCCCTGGGCATTGTTCAGCTGCTTTCTGCCTCAGTTTCTCCATCTGCAAAACAGGGGCTAATGACAACAGCTACCTCATAGGGTTAATACTGAATTTTAAAAGTATATAAATATAGTTTCCTGTATATAGAACCCACTATGTGTTTGCTGTTACTATGATATGAATTGACAATCACAAGAAACAGGGTAAGGGTCCAGCCTGGGGTAAGGAGACCTAGATAATCTGTAATCTTTGTACAACTTCTTTTCTTTTGCGTGAACACACAGGTCCTTTGTTCAGTGCGAATCTGTTCTTGACCATCATCTACAACTAACGGCATGAGTAAGACCTCCCCTGCCCTGCCGCCCTTGACTTCCAAAGTAACTTGCTAGAGGAGACTTGGAACACTCCTGGATTAAATAAAAAGGACTACTCTGAAAAACTTTCCAGGAAGTTTTGGTAAACACTTTTGATAGTTTTACTCTTAAGGCAGTTGTCTAAGGTGGCCAAATCTTCAGTGTTACCTCCTTGTCACAAAAGTTTGAAAATGACGTTCCGATTCAGAGACTAGAACTTAATCTTAATCTTTGGTACATAATATTTAAAAACACGCCCCTTACTGTGTTAAAAACGGGTCCATATGGCGAGGTTAGTTATGCCAGTTATAACTTAAATGTGCTCATTCTGGCACTGCTTATGAGTTCAGTAAGAAATTAAATTGGATTGAGAGTTGGTGTTCTATATTGGGTCAGACTGTTTCTAACCCACAGGATGTCTGAGAGTTACTCGGCAGACATTTCCACCAGACGTCGAATGTGACAGACTGGCCTCAAGCTTGATGAAACGGTAAGGGGGTGGTTTTACTCCTGCCACAATTTGGAAATTGAAGTGTCTGTGGTGAGCATGCTGGTTAGAAAAGGAATCTACAACTGCCCCCTACTCCCTCCAGAGTGGACTAGTGTTCTAAAGGGAACACACACATCTGTGACTCTCATGACGCAGGAGAGCATCTTCCCGGCAGCTGTGCACACGGGGCGCATCCATTTCTGAGCCTTATTCAGCCTGAGTGGTGACGATCCTGTCACTGCGGAAATCTGGCACAGATCTCTTCTCACACGGAGTAAGTCCCTAAACTGAGAGCTCGAAAGAGCCTGCTGTTTTAAAATCTGTGGTTAAGGATGCCCAGGTTGATAAATCTGAATTTTACATGTTATGTCGCAAACATCAAGTACCACCACAAACATTTTTAAAAAAGAAAGTTTATTGGTCTTTAAATGGCTCAAATTGCAAATAAACCAATCGGGTAGTGGCATCAGCCTAAGACATGTGATGCATCTTTGTCATTTGGCTTCATAGCACCTCGGTACCCAGGAGAGGAAAGGTCTCAAAGCAAAGTCACAATGTTAGTGGTTAAGACCCCTGGTTGGATGAGACTGCGACAAGGACACGTGGCGATCGCTGGGCCCGCGGGGCCGGGGTTACACTGGTAACTTTAAATCTGCACACGGCATAGCCTATGAAAAATACGAAGTAAAAGATGTACATCTCAAACCCTTTAAGGACAAATATTTAACATGACAAGGCAGATGTAGTATCTAAAGAATTCAGTTCCTAAAAAGCCTATTTTTGTTAACTTTACGTACATATCTGTTACCTGGAATGCCTGAACACATCTTTGAGTTGTTGAGATTAGGACTGAGTAAAAAGAAAGAAAAACTTTGTTGAATCAACTGTCTTAGTCCCAGTCCAAAGAAAAGAAGAATCTGACAGTGGTACATCTCCCATTGAAATTATGTTCCCAAACAGCGCACCAGGGCACACGGGCCTGCTGTTTGGTGCCAGACATGTTTTATGCACTATACTCGGGTTTGGTTGGTTGATGTTGACCTTAGGAAAATGGAGCTACAGTGTTCTTCCTTATGAACACACACAGACTGCAGCAGACACTGCTAATAACCCCCGTACAGCCAGACTGCAGCCTCATGAGTCCAGATTCAGGAGGGAGCAGGCGGCAAGCTCGCTTTCTCGAGCTGTTCTGGGGCAGAACGCATTAGCACTGCTGACGCCTTTCCCGGGCCCTGCTCCAGGGAGACCAGAAACTGAACACACGCTCACCGCTTGCAGAAGGGGATTTCCAGGGACCAGCATCTTAAAGGAAGAGGGTTCACTGAACCACAGCTGGTAATGAATCCTCACAGCCTACAATTATGTTACAAGTATATGCTGGCCCTTCACGTGAAACTCCCTTACAGTTAATCAGAAGCAAACAAGGAGCTCTGGAACCTTACTTTCAAGAACCAGAGTATGGCACACATTTTAAATTGGAACAGACTCCTAGCAGAGCTGTTTCTTGAGAATCTTCTATACAAAAGTTGTCCTCCATCCTAGACACACATCCCCTCACCAGGACACGCGGGCAGTGGGCCCACGCAGTGAGGACACACCCAGAATGATGGAACCGGGTAGTTTTCGGTTTCTAAATTAAGGCATATTAAAACATTTCCATGTACAAGTTTACACCACTTTTCCAAGTTAATCACCAGGTAATTAATGCAGGTTCACAGATGAATCACTCTCAATTTAACTATACGCAACAATCATGCCAGTAACTTTTTCTTCTATATTTTGCATAACAATGGTTAAAAAAAGTGGTACAGTTTAACTATCATGTTCACAATTGTCATTTTTCAAGGCAGTAGAAGACCAAGACATTTCAAAATGATATAAAATTGAAGCTTTATAATCAACCAGAGGAAGTAGCCTTTCCTCCCGTTGCCCACCCCCACCTCACCTCTTGAACAGTTCAAGACAGACCACCGGCAAAAATGCAAGCTCCCACGCTACATTCAGGACCGTGATAAATGTAGGCAATTATGAAATAAGTTGAACTCTGCTTCTTGGTGAAGCCACATTAATTTCTTTTTTAAGTGAATTTGACTTTCAGTGCAGCTCCAATTCATGCTTTTAGATACCTAACAATTTCCAAAATGTTAAAGTAATTTCAGTCAATTGAGCCTTCGATGGCAAAGCTTATAAATTATATTTATTAGTATGGTCAAGGTAAGAAAGGAGTTTGGGCTTTGATTATAAAATGCAGCATCTTTCTCTGATTCTCTTGGCTAAACTTTTCCTCTTCTTTTTTCCATTTTTTTCTTTGCTGTCTTCCATCTTTCTGGCTCGAATTTCCCTCATTAAGTCAAAAAATACCTGAAAAGGAGAAAACAGGATAAACAGAGAGATAGTATGTGTTTGGTACTTTCCCCGAATCACAGCAGTAAACCTGGGGAAAATGATATGAATGTTAGCTCTTGTGTGACAAGCAGAAGGAGAGCAAAGCACAAAACTGAAGTCTGCTTCTCCAAATGTATTTGGGAAGCTGGGAAAATAGGAGTATTTTCTGAATTACACTTTTTGGTAAAATTTGTTTACATAATATAACCTAATCTTTCCATCTGAATGAATTTTCCAGGTGAGAATGAAAAAAGCACAAGTGATGACTGCTCCAAAGATAAAATTCAATGCGTTACCATTTGAGTAATTTACAATTAGATAAAGTTTATCAATTACTATTTTAAAGTAATTTGTGCTTACTAAAACTTACATTTAATACCCTGTTTTTTTCTTCAGCTCCATTTAAAAAAAAAACAGAACTGTGGAAAATGACTGCTTCCTTTATCATTCTGATACCACACACTAGAAAACAATGTTGTTTCTTGCACTGTATTTGAGAATCTATCAATTCTTGTGTGATGTCTAGAAATTGACAAGTAAGGGGACATACGAGAATAAGTTAAAAATTACTAGTGTAACAATTCAAAAGTTAAATATCAATAACAAACGTCTGAGCGCTTGCGGAGAAGGGCCGGGAAGGATGTGGACTAAGTGGACACAAACAGTTAGGACTGTGTGGAATGTACATGGATGAATTACTTTTATGGGTCACACTTCTGCATTCTGGATTTAAAAAATTCAATTAGTATTCTGGAATAAGATAAAAACAAGTAAGATTAAAAACAAGTTTAAAAGAATGCTGTAAGTAAACAGAGGCATATTATGTAAGACCGACGTGCCTTCTCAAGCGTGTCCACAGCGCTCGGATGGAGACTTTAACTGCAAAGCGAGGTGCCAAGTAGTGTATACAGGTGGAGCGCACCTGTGGGTGCAGAGAGAAGTCGTGTGTATCTGCCTGCATTTTCCTTCTTTTTTTTTTTTTCCATGCATTTTCAAAAAGGAACAACGAAATGACAGACTCCAGTAACTTTATTTTCAGGAGAGGGGAGCAGGATAGAGTACTGAGGTGCCTCTCTGGAGATACTTTGTTATAATGTATGAATTCTACTTTGGAAAAGTAAGATTCAAAGAAGAAATTTAAAAACACGAAAGCAACTGCTTAAAAACTGAAAATCAAACTAAAACAAAACTGCATGTCAAATTGGTGACATAATCATACAGAGGAAACAATTATTTCAAGGGACTTTAAAAGACAACATATGGAATATTCTTCTTAGAACAGATGCTAAGAATGGAAAAAAGACAAATCCTAAACTTTGCTTTGTAGTTTCCTTGTTAGTAACAGTGGTATTGCTCTTTTACAACGAACATATTTATCAGGATAACACAATTATGTTACTGTAGTTTAGAAACCAAGACTTCCAGTGGGAGAGAAGAGATAAACACAAAATCAAAGAAGTACATATCCTGAGTGCTAAAAGTGAACTGGAAATAACAGGATGAATGGGAAATAACAGTATGGTCTCTTGATTTTTTTCTTTCAATAATCCACGTGTCTTAGCACTATTCGCTGAAAGGCCACGAAGCAATGACAGCCCAACAGCAAGGAGCACACGGGTCCCCAGGCTGTGGCTGCGAAGTTCGGTTCCTGCCAGGGAGCCAGGGCTCCTCAGCTGAGTGGCTGGTCCCTGAGCTGGAGTGAGAAGCAAAGCAAGGCCTGTCAGACTGACGGGCTGAGTCAGACGCACAGAGCACCGCCACGAAAGGACTCGGAGAGTTAAACAAGGGAAAAACTGGGCACAGAACCCCAGGAAGAACGCAGTGGACCGAAACGCGGTGACATGAACCCCTTGAGTGCTTGCCCCGCTGCTGCAGGCTGGGGATCTCGGGGCATTTCCGCTTCGAGTCCACAGCCGCCCAGGCCAGCCGGGGCAGAGGCCTCCAAACTAACGACGTGCAAGGATGTGTGATGAGCAGAGCACTCCCAGTGCTGCTCTGCAATGTGAGTACCTCACCGTGGAATGGCTAATGGAGTTTTACATGAGTATCTGCAATATGCTTCCAACAAATCCCCGTGGGAGACCACCAAGGTCATCCTACCAGCGAGCGCCGTGGGAACCTTTTAAGTCTACATCAGCTAACTTAACGAATGAAAGCCAAAGGAGGCCCTGTTCCCACTGCCAAGTGGGAGGAAATGAGTGATCCAGGGTGAGAATGAAGAATTGGTTTTGATGAACTCAGGCAACTGATAATCCCCACAGCAGAGGGCTTCTTCCGACTTCCAAGACACTTTCAAAGATTTCCTCTCTCCCTTGTTTCCTCCCACCCTCTTCTCTTCCTGTCCTTTCCCTTCTCTTCCCCCGGCTTTAGGGCAACCCGGTGTGTATGAAATTTGACTCTTCTAATTCCAGACTAGAGATCATAGGAAATCCTCACATAAATCAAAATAAAACAAAACTAGACAGACACAGGCTGTAAATGCTGAGCCCAGAATACTTACAGTTGAAAAAAAGCATATAAAAGTTATTAGAAACAACCAACATCGCTCTTACAGCATCAAGAGCTGTTAGTTTTAAATCTAAACCTTTGCCTTCACCAGTTTCTTCATTTTAAGTACGTAGCAGCCCCTAGTTCATGATGTAGACAATATTAAACTTTCAAATGGATTAAAGACCTATTATAAAAGCCAAGACAACGAGCAAGTAAAAATTATAGCTAAGTTTTTCAGCTTAGGATGGGAGAGTTTTTCTAATGAAGCCACCGAAATCAGAAGTCACAAAGGAAAAACAACGACAAATCTGACGACATAATCTTTTAATGTCTTTCCATAGCAAAAGCTACAAGTCAGCAAAGTTAAAAGACATGGTATGGACTCGGAGACAGTATTCACAACAGATATAAATGGACAAAGGGTTGATGTCCTTAATATAAAGTGGACTTTATGAATCAAAAAGATAAACCTCCCATTAGATCAAGGGGCAGGAAAAGAGAATCTTGAGTTCACAGAGGATCGACAAAAGGCCAATGAACAGCTACACGATGTCGTAATCAGGAAACACAAATTAAAACAAATAATCTCCCCACAGTACTGGCGACTTTTAAGGCAGTCGTGGGGAAGGGGTTTCCTCACACACCGCTGGTGGAAGTGGAAGGCACTAACTACCTCCAGGGGATGACCTGTCATTAAAATTTAAAATGCACCTTTGGGATTTCTGGCCAAGATGGTGGAGCAGTAGGACCATGAGCTCACCTCCCCTCTGACTACAACAAACCACAACTGACCGCTGAACAACAGAGGGAAAAAAAAAAAGACTGGAACCCAGCAAAAAATTTTCTTCAACTGGAAATACAAAGAGGGAACCACAACGGGACGGTACGAGAGGTGTGCCATGATATAATGGCCCCACATCCCCCGAGTGGGGGACTCAAGCTGAAGCCCTCCCACAGGGGCGACGGTTCTGAGCCCCACGTCAGGCCCCCAGCCCGCGGTTCCGGCATGAGGAGGAGCCCCCAGAACATCTAGTTCTGAAGGCCAGTGGGGCTTAACTCCAGTAGCCCCTTGGGACTGGGGGAAACAGAGACGTAATTCTCTTGGGAAGCGCACACGGAATCTTGCGTGCACCAGGTCCAAGGGCAGAGGCAGTGATTTCATAGGATCCTGGGCCAGACCTGCCTCCTGGTTTGGGGAGGTCTCCTGGGGAAGTAAGGGATGGCTGCGGCTCACCCTGGGGACATGAAAGCTGGTGTGGGACATTCAGGGATCATTCACCTACATGAGCTTTCCTTGAGGCTGACATCTTGATTGGATCACCAACACCAAGACCTAGCTCCACCCAACAGCCTGTAGGCTTAAGGGCTGGGAACCTTCAGGCCAAGCAACGTACTGGGTGGAAACACAGCCCCACCCATCAGCAGACTTCCTGAGCCACAAACCAGACACCACCCTACCCGCCGGAGGTCCAGGACCAGCAGTGGACAGGCACCGACTCCTCCTACCAGGAAACCCACACACGCCTCTAGGCCAGCTTCATCCACCAGGGGCAGATACCAAAGCCTGTGGAAGGAATCTACAGACACAAGCCAGGCTCTACCCTGGGACCCGATGGACCCTGGCCCTTGGGTGACAAGAGGGAACTGTGCTACTGGGATGTACAGGACGTCTCCCACAGAGAGCCACTACTCCAAGGTCGAGAAAGTAACTAACCTACCTAAAAATACAAATAGTAGACAACACGAGGCAGCAGAGGAATATCTTCTAGGCCAAGACACAACATAAACTTCCAGAAGAAGAAATAAGTGATGATGAAACATGCAATTTATCTGAGAATTTAGAGTAATGATGGCGAAGATGTTCAGAGAACTCAAGAGGAGTACAGAGGCACAGAGTGAAGTTTTTATCAAAGAACTAGAAACTATAAAGAATAACCCAAACAGAGTTGAGGAATAAAAACAAACCCAAAACGATTAACAAAATGGCAATAAGAACATATGTATTGATAACTACCTTAAATTTCAATGGATTAAATGCTCCAATCAAAAGACACAGACTGGCTGAATGGATACAAAAACAAGACCCACATATATACGCTGTCTACAAGAGACCCACTTCAGAGCTAGAGACACATGCAGGCTCAAAGTGAGGGGATGGAAAAAGATACTCCATGCAAACGGAAACCAAAAGAAAGCTGGAGTAGCAATACTTGTATCATAAAAAACAGATTTTAAAATAAAGACTGTTACAGGAGACAAAGAAGGGCACTACATAAAGCTTCAGGGATCAGTCCAAGAGGAGGATACACCAATTGTAAATATATATGCACCCAACATAGGAGCGCCTCAATATATAAGGCAATTGTTAACAGACATAAAAGGGGAAACGGACAATAACACAGTAATAGTGGGGACCTTAACAGCCCACCTTCCTTAATAGAAAGATCATCCAGACGGAAAGTCAGTAAGGAAATACAGGCCCGAAAGGACACATCGGACCAGGTGGACTTAACTGACATCTACAGCGCAGTCCATCCACAGGCATCAGGATACACATCTTCTCAAGTGCACACAGGACACTCTCTAGAATCGACCACACGCTGGCCCACAAAGCAAACCTCAGTAAATCTAAGAAAATGGAAATCTCACCAAGCATCTTTTCTGACCACAACACTATGAGGTTCAAAATCAACTATAAGAAAGAAAAGAAAAAAAACCACTGCAAAAACTGCAAACATATGGAAGCTAAACTATATGCCACTAAACAACCAACGAGTCCCTGAAGAAATCAAAGAAGAAATCAAAAAATACTTTGAGACAAATGAAAATTAAAGCACAATGATCCAGAACCTCTGGGATGCAGCGAAAGCAGTGCTAGGAGGGAAGTTTACAGTGATACATGCCTACCTCAGGGAACAAGAACAGTCTCAAATACACCACCTCACCTCACACCTAAAGCAGACAGAGAAAGAACAAACAAAACCCAAAGTTGGTGGAAGAAAAGAAACCATAAAGATCAGAGCAGAGATAAATGAAATAGAGACAACAACAACAAAAAACTAATGAAACTAAAAGCTGGTTCTCTGAAGAGATAAACAGAATTGATAAACTTTTAGTCAGATTCGTAAAGAAAAAAAGGGAGAGGGCCCAAATTAATAAAACCAGAAATGAAAAAGGAGAAGTTACAGCCGACACCACAGAAATACAAAGGATCATAAAAGGCTACTATGAACAACTATAAGCCAACAAAAAGGACGACCCAGAAGAAATGGACAATTTCTCGGAAAGGTACAATTTGCCAAGACTGAACTAGGAAGAACCAGAAAACACGAACAGACCAATCACAGGACTGAAATTGAATTGGTAATTAAAAAACTCCCAACAAACACAAGTCCACGTAGAACAAGTTACACTTTTCCCTTTGTACTATGAATTTTTCTTCATACAATGACCGTGTGTCCCACCTGAATTACCTGTATAAAGAAAAAAACTTCAAAAAGAACACACTACATTTTTCTTAAAATTCTTCCCCCAACATAAAATTAGCTCTCTTGACACAATAAATCATACTCTCCTTTTTGACATCTACTAGCCTAATTTCTTTCCATTTATTTCCCCCAAGGTGGTTCTTAAAATTATGAATTTAAAAAGCCAGAGCATTCAGCTAGAAGGGTGCAAGGTCATCAGATGACCCGGCAGCCAGTGAGCACACAGGCAGGTTTGCCAGATGGCGATTCCCCTGTGACAGGCCAGGCCCCAGCTCGACAGTTCTGATGGTCATGAAGCCGTTTCACAGGGTAGTGTTCAAATCTGCCTCTTAGAAACTCCCACCCAACGGTCTGTTTGGAATCCAGATGAGGACAAGATATGGGCATTTAAGATCTTATAGGGAGCTAGTGTCTGTTTTCCATGACAACACAAGATACTTCCCAGTTTAACAGGGGACAATATTAAAACTTGATACCCCAGAAAAATCTGTGATCAGACTTCCAGTAGTAGATGACATACAATATGGGTGATGCCAACCACTGTTTTGAGTAAAACAGTGAGGAAAGAACCTGGGTACCCGAGCTGGCCACACCCAGAGCCAGCAGGTGCCACTACCAACCCTGCGACCTTGAGCCAGGTGCGTAACCTCTCCACACCTCAGTTTCCTCATGTAAAAAGCCAGCCTGAGAAGAGTATCCATGCTGTGCAGGGTTAAAAATGAAACTGAGTACTCACCACTGTGCCTGGCTCTTATAAGCAGGGATGAATGTTAGCTCTTGTAACTATGTATTACATTATTTCCTCTGCAAAAACCCCAAAATGTAACCTAACTTTAGACACTGAAGAATGGCTGCAAGTTACTTTTATTTAGCCACTAAGGTACTTTATCTGGTAGCCACTCTTCAGGATAGAGCACTGAAAAATGCATTAGTTCTCCGGTGGCAACCACAGGTACCAGGTTCTTACACATCCCCCTGATGTAGGCTTGCATGTGTGCTTGTGTGTGTGCGTGTGTGTATGAGTGTTTCAAACACAGATGGCAGCACACTACAGGCACTGTTCTGTGCTTTTTCATTTATTAATGTCGAAGATCATTCTGTATCAGCAGAACATTTAGTTCCACCTTCATTTCTTTTTTTAAACCTTCATTTCTTTTGAATGATTATATAATATTCCATTATATGGATGCACCATAGTTTAAACCAGTCTGTTACTGGACGCTTGGGTATTTCCAGTCTTTTGCTTCTACAGACAAAGCTTCAAGGACTACTACTGAAATACACTTATGTGTGGATGTATGATTTTTAACTGTATAATGAGCTTTTAGAACTTGAATTGTTGGGGTCATTGTTTTGATAGATGATTGCCAAACTGCCCTTCCATGAACACGAGAGTTCCTCTTGCTTTTTTCCTATGTGATGGGTGGAAAAAAAAAAAAAAGTCGTATTTTTAACCTGCACTTCCCTTTTTGTAAGTTAGACTAAGCCTCTTTTCAAGTTTGAAAGAGATTTGCATTTCTTTTCTGTTTTATGTTTTTTGACCATTTTCCCACCGGGCTGCTGGTCTTCCTCCTGTCCTGTGACAGCTCTGATGAGGCACACGACGGAGCCTTCCCAGGGCCTCTGACGCTGGCAGGTGACACCCCAGGACTACTTACTGCAGGCCCCAGAGCCTGGCCGGTTTCTGTTTGCCCCCATTCCCCACTTCCCTTGGTTCAAGTCAGTTTTCAAGTGTGTTCTACAACCTGCTCAAGACCTCAAACAGGAGGAAACAAAGTATATATATGCCATGATAATGTTCACTGTTGCCTTTCAAAACCCCAAACACACTATTCTCATTAGTAATTTAAAAAACATTTGTCATAACCTTAGAGGAAACTGGTACACTGAGAAGGCAGGTGGCACTCATTTTGTACAGCTATCTTGGACCTATAGGAGTCTGACCATGTGACTGGAAAAAAAAAATCAGCTTCAGACAGTAACGACACTTTTAAGACCTACAGTAAATGAACAGAAAGAATCTCTAATTTTCTTAACATAATGATGTCTGGACCAGGATTATAAATCCACAGGCACAGCAGACCAGTCCACTAACCCTGTGGCCACCCAGAGCAGTGTGACCCCAAGCGTGTGCCACTGTCCCCAGTCTGAGCACAGGGAGCTGGCCAGACGTGCAAATTCTCAGGCCCCACCCCAGACCAAACAAATCAAAATCTCTGGCGGAAGACCCAGGAATCTGTGTTTATAACAAGGCAATTCTTCTGCACGTTCATTTTTGAGGGGTGCCCAGAAGAGCCTAGATACTTGGGGGCTGAAAAAGGCCCCACCCTGAAGGCTCCCAGAGCCGGTGACCGCAGCCCAACGGCAGTCCCCAGGACTGAGAGGTCTCGCGGTGGGATGACAGGTGCCTGGGAGGGCTCCCGGAAACGAGGTAAGGGTGCTCCTCCCCTGGCCTCCAGGAAGGGCCAGTGTGAACAAAGGGCCAAGATAAGGGACTCGGGAGGGAACAGAGGATGAGTGTGGGGAGGGCAGCTGCGGTGAAGGAGGTTTCCAAATCCTCCCCGCTGGGAGGCACCTGCGCTTGGGAAAACGCAAAGGGGGCTGGGCAGGTGTGAGCCCCGAGGACTCACACAGGTCCTGCTAGGTTCGCCAGCCAATCAGGACAGGGGGGAAGAAAAAGGAAAGGCAGGGATTCAGGTCAGGAAATCCTGTCAATGCTTTGGAAAAAAAGGGAAAAAAGAAAAGTACACGTAGCTGCAGTGTGTCGTGTTTTAGTGCCTCCTGGGAGCCAAAGGACACGGTGAAGCAGGAAACTCCCAACACGTTAGACTTGAGCATTCAAGGGCTGATAAAAGCCAACACGTAGTAAATCTCTACCTGAAAGTCTCACAGAATCGCGAGACAGAATGGAGCCGAGTTAGAACAGATCCACCGATCTTTAACACGAGGTAGTGGTCCGGAGAGCCACCTCTTACCTTGTCAACATTAGCTCGCGTTTTAGCAGATGTTTCCACGTAGTTAACATTCCACTGATCGGCTCTGGTTTTTGCCTCTTCTACAGAAACCTGCCTTTTATCTTCTAAATCTGATTTGTTTCCAACGAGCAGAAATGGAACGTTCTCATCTTCTTTTACTCTTAAAATCTGCTCCCTGGATAAGAGAAAACGAGCAAGAAATAGTAACATTATCTCTACACGTTAAAATAACAAAATAGCAAATACCAAATGCAGTTAGCATTTAGTTGTTTCTATACAGTAACAATTAGCTCATTTATGACACAAGGAAACACGCAGCACAGCTTCCTTTCTCTATCATCAGTCATCTGAGTTACACACTCACTTCACTGATGAAGGAGAAACACACCACAGAAGAGATGATCACCATGGCAGGAGAGGCACCAAATCCAAGTAACAAATGCACCTACCTGCTAAATGCTTTTTAAAACATTAAACTTTTATGTTAGGATGATTTCAGATTTGCAGAGAAGTTGTGAAGATAGCACAGAGTTCTCACATGCCCCACACCGAGTTTCCCCTGCTGTTAACGCTGCACGTTAGTGTGGTACCTTTATCACAATTTATGGAACAGTACTGATGCAAGTGTGCTCCGGCTTGCCTTGCTGCGCTCACAAACTGAAGGTCTGCAGCGGCCCTGCATCAGCTCGCTTATGTCTGCATGTCACATTTTGGGAATTCTTGAAATATTTCAAACCTTTTCATGATTATATTTGTTATGGTGATCTGTGATCAGTAATCTCAGATGTTATTAATATGACCAGCTGAAGGTTCCGGTGACATTTAACTTTTTTTTTTTTTTTTGGCAATAAATTACTTTAAGGTTATGAATGTCGTTTTTGGGGGGACATAAAGTGTGCTGTTGAACACTTTGAACAGACTACAGTGTAAACGTAACTTTCATATGCACTGGGAAGCCACAAAATTCATGTGACTCACTTTGTTGGGATATTTGCTTTATTGCGGTGGTCTGGAAACAACAACTCACAGTCTCTCCCAGGGAAGTCTGTACATTGTCATTAACTAAAGTCCACACGTTATTCAGATGTTCTTAGTTTCCACCTGGTGTCCTTCTTCTGTACCAAGATCCTACCTGGGACACCACATGACATTTAGTCATCATTTCTCCTTAGATGCCACTTAGCTGTGGCAGTTTTCAGACTTTCCTTGTTTTTAATGACCTTGACAGTTTTGAGGAGTACTGGTCAGGTAATTTGCAGAAAATCTCTCAGTTGGGATTTGTCGGATGTTTTTCTCATGATCAACTGGGGTCATGGGATTTGCGGAGGAGACCACAGGAGGGAGAGAATGCCATTTTATCATGTCATATCAAGGGTACCACTACATGTTTTTAAAGCCCCACGCATGCCAGAAATATCTGGAAGTCAGCGGCTGAGCATAGATTTTTGTATTTAGAGATAAATTATACGTGGTGAAGTGTCATCAATTTTAAAGGTGTCAGGGCTCTGCCCTTCCTAATCATGCGACTTTGAGCAAAGTACTTCTTTGCCTCAGTTTCCTCGCCTGTAAAATAGAGCTGACAAGAAAACCTTACATACGTGGTTGCTCTAAGGATTCAATGTGAAGTGTGTAGAATTGTGACTGGCACTCAGTAAATATTCAATAAATGTTAGCTGTTCTAAATGATTATTATTAACCTACTGAAAAAAGATGTTTTCTTATAAAATCAGCAGATGAAAGAAATCTGTAAGACTTAGGTTTATTCTCTTGCTATCTTACAGATGCCTCTCCTTTGAAATTATTTAGAGATGCTGAAGCTTATAGGAACATAAACATTGTAGACTAAGAGAGAAATGAGAAACTCACAGGGGTTGTTAGTATGACAGGTCAGCACAGCACACTTGACTTTGCAGGGGTCCTGCAGTGATGTCTGAGGCCGGGTATAACGCGGGGCCACAGTTCATTCACATTAGTCTATTCTGTGCTGCTTAGAAGATGTCTCCTGAGCGCCGCCACCACCACCTGCACTGCTGCTAGCAGTGGCCTAACGCTCACAACGCGCCCAGTGCTTTAACCGCTCCAAGTGCTTTACGTACATTATCTCGTTTAATCTTCACCCCAAACCCACGGAGTTACTACAATTATTACTGTAGTGGGATGTAGTCATCCCACTACAGTAAGGAAACCAAGGCCCAGAAAATTACGCAGCTTACTCGGAGTCCCATTTAAGCAGAACCAGGATCTGAATCTGCGACATCTAACGCCACAGCACACACAGTTTCCGCGCTGGACACCACAGGGCCTCCCCAGGATGGATATCGAAGGGAACAAACCCTGTTCCCTACTGTTTAGTTTCCAAAAGTTCTTCATCACGAGAGACCTCTCCCTCTGACACAGAAATGGACACCGAGGTGTCCACTGAGCACTGGGGTGAGGTTCCCTGTGTCATATGACATGTCCCCTGCGTGGAAGAGGGACCCTTCTTTATTACACACAGTAATCAGATCCAACCAGTGGGAGAAGATGAGGTAAACGAACGGGAGAGGAAAGCGTGGATCATATAATGATAATTTCACCTTTCTGAAAAAATGTTTTCAATTACTTGTTTCAGTGGAGGGTTGGCATTGATACAAACAAAGCAACCAGAGAGATTATAATGCAATGTCACAGAACACCTTATATAATTTTAAAAAATGCCCTATATAAAAATGCTTAATACATTTTAAAAAAACACACAGTAGGGAACGAAGCTGTATTTTTAAAAGGAAACCTCCCATATTCCATTTTAATAACATGGAATGTGGCGACCATGTGATGTTGAAAAGAGCCATCATTCATTCAGTGACAGCCGGTATAGCAGGGTTGTTAAAAGCAAGAATCTGGAGGCAGACCTTCCGGATTTTAATGGCTCTGCCATCCTGACTGCATGACTAGGGGCAAGAGACTGAGCCTCTCTGTGCTTCAGTTTCTTCATTTATAAATTTGGAGACTTTATTTAAAAAATCAGATTTAAGAAGTCACTAATTGTAAGCACTATTGTATACACTACTAAGAAAAATGGCTGCCAATTAAGATGTCAGACTATAAAACACAGCCCTGACTTTAAGAGATGAGAAAATGTGAAAACATGTGTCTCGGAATTTATGAAACATGTTAGGAGTATCTACCTCATCTATGTTAAGGCTCAGAACAGTGTCCAGTACACAGTAAGCACTTTATGAGAGTTAGATATTTATTATTTACATTATCATTTTATTCACCTGAGTACTGATGAAGTAGCAAAAGTTCTAACGGATTCAATGCTTGCAGGAAGTTCTTTGGACCCGAATTCTTACTTTTTCTGACGTGAATAAACTGTGAACCACACAGTCACCTCCATCCTTCACTGATTTGAACTTACCTTGAACATCCTTTCAGGAAGTAAAAATGTTAACTGAGCCTGGTAACCGAGTGACACGCACTTAGCTGGAGTTTGCTACACAGCACCGTGCTATTTCCCACCACTGATGTGATTTCTTGCAAAAAGCTTGTCAACACTCACCACTGCTGCTTGTTAAATTTATGAGGTATTTGTGAAGAGGATTTTGGTCAATCACAATCTTTTTCCAATGCTGGTAACAACAAATTTGCTGTGACTTTCTTAACCAGTTTCCTTCATGATCAACAGCCCGGAACTAAGATGTTAACAACTGACTCTCCACTCAGACTCGCTAACCATCAGCAATGTGAGCCTGCCTCTGGTGTTTGTGATTCTAGCACCTTTGTTCATTAATATATATATATATATTATATATATATATATATATGTATATATGGTATATTTATTGAAATTAATTAGTGACTATATACATTTATTTCAATACCCACTAAGCTACTCTGAGTCAGGTGCTCATGGAAGTCTGATACTGAAATGACAGCGTGATGACTGCCGTCAGAAACATGGTCATAGAACACCTGGCCCACTGAGTTCAGAGGTGAGAAGACAATATTCTTTAGAGTTAACAAGTTGGTTTTATGAGCTACTTTCCTGGATGTCAGAGAAAGGCGATGCTTTGTCTATAACCTTCACAGACATTTTACTTAATGTGGTGCTCCCTTCAAGTAAGAGTTTTAGATGCTAGTATAGAATTTTAGAATAGGAAATGCACCTGGACAAACTGGTGCAACTTCTTCATTTCTGACATCAGGAGAGTGAGAACCAAAAGGGAAGAGAGTTTTCTAGGTCTTCTAATATTGCTATCAAACATTTACTAAGCACTATATGTTACACGCTAGCAACCGTGCTAGATATGGGCCCTCGGGAGGCTGAAACGGACAGAAATGGGAGCTGCTCTCCAGAGCTGTTACCTTGTCAGGAAAAACACCTATAAATCAGTCTCAGCCTAGGAGTGTGGTGACTGTGCTGCTGGAGCTGTGGCGGGTCCGTCGCTCTCACAGGTGAGGAGACAATGACTCTGCCTTGGTGATGGGAGGCCCAGGAAGCTAAAGAGAGGAGTTGACATCGTGCTGTACTTGGCAGGTTAGACCATGTGCAGTGCCCCCTGTGACCATTCAGACCACCTCAAAGATGGCTTTCCTACTGCCGGTCAGTTACTAGGACCACTTTTTATTTATGAGAAGGCCAAACACACTGGAGGTACACTGGAAGGGTGATGAATGATTCACTTATTTTCTGTAATAGCAACAGCCCAAGATTTTTTTCTCTTGGTATAAAAATACCTAACATTCCCTTGAGATATCACTTTGACTTTGGTGGCTATGGTGACAAAATTTATTCCATTACCTAGAACAGGACCTGCTACATAATAAGCACTCAAATCTTTTCTGAATGAATGAAAAACACTGACACTTATGTAACTTGCAACATGTCTCCAAGGATTACGAGTTACCAGAATCTGTCATCCTTCGTACTTAATCACATACAAAACTCCTTCCCTATAGAAACCAACAAACTTAATTTTACACACAAAGCTATAAAGTTTCTCAATGACATCCTTTTTTTGCAAAGAATCCTGTGAGTCCTTGAGACCTTCAAGTGTACAGAAAAAGCAGAAAAAGGAATGCTTTGTATGAGCCCAGGTTTGGTATTTTGCTTAACTACTTGAATTGGCGTCTTTCCTCATCTGTGGAAATCCTTCTTACCCTTCGAGGTTATCTGTCTCGTGGAGGCCTCCCAGCGTCCCTCCTCTCCTGGGTCCCCTCCATATCTCCTACTTTTGTCACTAACTTGCTCTTGGTTTCATGCCTTACTCAACTAGGCTGTGTGAATCCTGAAAACAGAGGACCTATTACATGCTTCTATTGTGTCCCCTACCAAAGCGGACAACACAGAAGTAAAAATACATACGAAGAATGCTTGTGATTATGCATGTATTCATGCACTTAATTTTGCTATATGTACTTAGGTATAGAGAGAACCCCTCTCTCCTTCCCCAGCACCCCCCTCAGAGCCAAATGGATGACAGATTCTGATTATAAATAAGATATAAAAAATACTGTGTACCAAAACCTAGTGTGCCGATGTACGGTATTATTATTTCTACTAGAAATTCAGTCCGTGCTGTCAGTGCATCCACAGTGTAAGGACGATGGCAAGGTGCCTGCGGAGCACGACACAGGTGTGGAGAAACCAGATCTAAAACTGGGTCAGAGTTCCAGCGTGGGATCCCAGTGTCGCGGTACTGTGCTCGAGGGGAGGACTTGCAGTGCACAGAGGGACCCTGGGGGCTGGGGCCGTCACACACTCAAGCGCCCGCACGGCCAGCCCTGGGAGAGCCGGTGGTCAGGCTGTGCAGGGCGCACCGAACACCCGAGCACAAGCAGGCAGGCTGTCAGTCAGGGAGGGAGCAGACGCGAGAGGACACCGAGGGAAAGGCTACCGCGTCAGGGGCCCTGGTCGGCCACCTGCTTCCGGGGAAGAAGCTGTCCCTGACCCACCTGAAGTCGGCCGTGGCTGCAAAGGACTCCATCTCGGTGATCGAGAAGACGCAGAGGAAGCCCTCGCCGCTGCGGAAGTAGTTGTCTCGGATGGCGGCGTAGTCCTCCTGCCCGGCTGTGTCCAGGATGTCGATCTGCACCTCCTCCCCGTCCAGCACCACCTTCTTGCGATAGCTGTCCGCCTTGGTAGGCTCATAGTCCTCCACAAACTGCGAAGGACGGAAAGCGCGCCCGTTTTGAAATTGGCTCGACTTTCAAAACTTACTTTGAAATACAGATTCCCACGAAGTTGCCAAAATGGTACAGAGGTCGCCTGTGACCTTCATTCAGTTTTCCCCAATGGTAAAAACTACATTCATTGAGATTTTCATGTTAGACCATTTGGCGGCTTCCTCTGTTACAAACAGTGGGGTTGAACTATTAGCTCTAGGCTGTTTACAGCTTGAAAACTGTGCCTTTTTTCTTCCTTGAAACACTATACTTGCAAAAACTACTACACTTAGGTTTTGTCTAACGTTTGAGAACCTTTCCTATGGGGCTCTAAATACACGTTTTCATGCCGGAATTGTGGAAGTAACTTGAAAGTAAGTCAATATTTAGGTAAGCATTGAAAGCATGGTTGAATCTTTTCTTTCTCCAAAATGAATCAAGTCAAAAGAGCAGCTAGGACTACTCTGTAGAATGCCAAACTTGAACTCTGAGATTTCTCCCCAAACTTCCGATTTTTTAAATGGTACAATTACAACTTTACATTCTATCTTTAACCCCCTAAATCTCACCTTGATATTTTGGATCAGTGTCTCATTGTTGGTGTGTGTGTATGTATATAAAACATAATTTCATGGCTTTTATTCTTATAAATACTTTCATTATCTGATATTTTCTTATTTCTTTGCTCAGCGTCTGTATCCCCTGACTAGAACTTCACCCCGGGAGGCAGGGACCTTGAGTACTCTACTTGTCACTGCATCTCCAAAGCCTAGAATAGTGCCTGCTACATGGCAGACATGAGACAAATAATTACTAAAAAATCGAACTGTGTATTTTTTATTGTAAAAGCTATAGAACATTCTACCATAACTACATGCTAATATTTTATGAATATTAAATATTTACAACCATTTATATTTGATGACCAGAAATATCCAGATATATCAGATATTATGAATATTAAGTAAATATTAAATATTTATGAATATCAAATGCAAGTTTAACTATTCATCAAATGCCAGGCATGTGAATATTCTTATTTTTGACCTCCTTATTATCAAGAAGGGGGCTGCTTTAAGATTTAGTTTGAAAGAAGAGGAGCTATTAAGATGAACAGAATGAAAAACAGACTAGGTAAATTGGTAATTTCATTTAAAGTATCATTTCAGTCTCCCTCGTTCAAACTTTTTATTATCATCACCAACAACACGACAAGTGATGGATTTTTAAGAGTTCTGTGTGTGAAAGAAATGCTGATGAGGAGGCGATGAAAAGAGACAGACACCGGGCGTAAAAATCTGCAGGACTTTTTGTCAGACCAGGTTTGACATTTAGTTGCTCATCAGAGACCACTCTTCTTGGGCAGGCTGGGTAGCCTCTCTGAGGTTCTGTTTTCTCATCTGTAAAATGGGCGATGCCACGACCTACCACACAGGACTGTTCTGAGGGTTACGTAAGAAAGAGCAACCATAAATCCTTGCTTCTATTTGAGAGGAAGAAGAATTGAGGATAAATGAGTTAAATTTGATTACCAACTCTTCAATCATTTAGCCTAGATAACAGTCTTCTAAGGAAGGAACATATTGCTGTCCACAGGCTGAGACCTTAATTGTGGGGTGATAAAGTCTGATATACTTTATCAGGCACACAAATCTGTAACCTGTCCAGTAATTTTTATTTTAAGGACACAGCCTTTACCTGTCTAGTGGAGAGTGTGGTGCCATGCCAAATACACTCAGTCACTCATCAGAGATACAATAACTAACTGACTTTTTCACTAACGTTATTATTAAAGGATGCCTGATGTATATTAACCTCAAGTCTCAATCAGGCACTACATCCACCAGTACTATTAATTCAAGGTGGAACTCACCATTTAAACACTAAAAACAAAAAAGCCACAGTTAGATTGCTCAAAAATAGGTACTGTTTCCCGTTTTGTTTTGTTTCTTAAAAGCATAAGGATTTTAAGGCCCTTGAGTTCTTGACTGTTTTTGGGAGGAGGGGGGCTGGGGGTTGTAATTAAGTTTATTTATTTTTGGAAGAAGTACTGGGGATTGAACCCAGGACCTCATACATGCCAAGCATGCGCTCTACTGCTTGAGTGACACCCTCCCCCTTTGACTTGTTAAATTAAGTTGTATACAAATGTTGGCTCTGAATTTAAAAACAGAAAAAAAACCTAGTAGCTTTCAAGGATGCAAGGTATCCATCTGAAATAGCACCAAAACCAAGCCAGAAAAATACTCTGAAAGCCCAAACTTTGGTATCCGGGATGCAGTCAGCACCTACCTCATCGTACATGAACTGCAGGGTCAGAGCGGACTTGCCCACACCGCCGCTGCCCACCATGATGACTTTGTGTAAGGCCAAAGAATTCTGACCCTTGGGCTTATTTGCAGCCATCCTGTGTCACAGAGTTGTCACCAAATGATTAAGAAGAATCTAAAAAGAATGAAAGAACACGTAATGCTCAGCACACTCTTCTTCAGAATTCCAGTGTAGGAAAGAGATATGACATCCTTAGGCTTCAAGATACCAGTTTTCATTCTGCAGTGATTTTAAACAGATGGCAAATGAAGTATGCTCAGTTAGGGGAAGAGCCACTTATCAGAGAACACCGTGGCAGTAAGACAAGTATATGACTCAAGGGCATTTCTCTTATAATAGTTTTCAGTGATGAGCTCGGTGACTGAAAGCGAAAATTTCCCATTGCAGTCAGATGCTGACAATAACAGAGTATTAGCTGTATCAGAATATAGTCACACAGATAATAAAAACAGGCTGCATGATCACTTTGTTTTCACATTAACCTCTATCAGCAGTTAACTGAAGAGATGCTTTTTCTAATTTCGGTGAGAAACGACTAAAAAAAAAAAAAACAAAAAACCCCAAAACAAAAACTAATGCCAAAAAAGCCTCATCCTAACAAGTTGGCAGTAAAGGTAAAAATAGAATCTAAGAAATTGAAAAGTTGTGCTCTACACTGCAATTTGACACAATATTGTAAAACGACTGTAACTCAATAAAAAAATGTTAAAAAAAATAGAATCTAAGACTATTCTTAGATTGTATACCCCAACTCCCAAGCACCATCAGGGCAACATCTGCATATCTGGAGAGGGATGGCTAATCCGACTGACATACCTGGATCGAGTGTGCCCTCCCTTCCCTTAGCACACACACGTGTTAACCACATTCATGTGCCCAGGGTGGGAAGAGCGGGTGGTGATGGGCAATGTCGGCCCCCGGTGGCCCCTGGCCCCGGGGCAGGCCTTAGAAGAAGAGGCGGAGAGGTCACAAGCACCGCATCTGCACGGAGGCCCGCGCCAGGAGGCTTCTCGTTACTAGCGGAGCCGGGGGTTGCGCCTTCCATCTCAGCATCTCTCTGACTTGTTTTGGTCACAGCACAGCTTTTCCAAGCTGCGTCTCACAGGTCCACCCCCAGCCCTGCCTACTTGTCTACCTTATGGCTCGGCTGCATCCGAGCCACACCGATCGCCTCCGATTCTTCACACGCTCCTCTTTGCCTCTTGGCCTCCGCCATGCAGCTTCCTCCAATACTCGTCTTCAATCCGGCTAACTGCTCTCAGCTCTGGGGTCTCAGCCTCACCTGGAACTCTCAGTTAGGTCTCCCCTGCCCGGGGCTCATATAGCGCCTGATACTTTTCCTCCACAGCCATTCGCACAAGGTGACATTGCTGAGTGTGTGAGCTGTTTCACAGGGCTCTTCTTCCCTGATACACCAGAAGCAACTTGAGCGCAGGCGCCATGTCCACCTGGTTCACTTCATGCTTAACGTAACTAACAGGGCTCGGCAAATCAGCCATTCTGTGCATCTGTGTTGGATGAGAGGATAAATGCCGGAGTGTGACCCAGCCTTGGGGAGTGCTTTATCTGCAATGGTATGAAGCAGCTGTTGCTATCAGAGACGCAATCACAAGGAGAGTCTGCCGTGGGCTGGTGCCTCATGTGCGGGCTGTGCAGGGTGCGCTCAGGCCGCCCCAGAAATCATGCCCAATACGGAAAAGTCTTAAGGAAAAAACAAACAAGCCAACCCCATAACCTTGCTATCGATTTAACAACACGGGTGTGTTACACTTCGTTTGAGACCACTTCAATGTGCATGGAGCATGACTGGGATCACGCCCTATACGCAGTTTTTGATCCTCTTACTCCTATGTTATATCATGAACATTTTTAGCACAGGCAGCTTGAACTGTGAAGCATATGGCGGAGAATCCACATCTGGAGGCTGAAAAGTACGATTTATCTCGATAAACAAGGACTGAGTCCCGTTTCTACACACCAAGGACATGATCACTGGATTCTGAATGATTGTCACTGCTCAGAAAAAGTGAAAATTAATAGTATCTTTCAGATGAGTAACTAAAAGTCTACAGACACAATGTGTAAGCAAGTGTACAGAGCATGCTGATGCTGGGGTTCCCAAACAGGCCAGGAAATGACTTCTTTCTCACTGTTACGATCCTAACTGGAATCTTTTCATAGCTATGTAACTACTGTTTTATTTTTAGAACAGTTATAGCACATGAGCCCAGGGTGTCATCATATCAATTAATGCTCTAAGAATTGTGTGTGTTTTAAAGCAAAATGTTAGCAGTTACGCCAACTAGGGTACAACACTTTTCCTTCCAGGACAATTTAAAATATAGTGTGTGGCTTAGAAAAGGGAGATTCCTAAAGACATTTTTCCAAAGTGCACATACTCCTCAAGAACCATGAGCTGCACATCCCAGCCTTCAAGAGGCTGTCCAGGAAAAGACCTTCTCTCCCCATCTCAAAACCCGGCTTTCCACAACTTAGCTCCCCACCCCTGGTCTCTAGACATCCATGCTGGAACTTGAGACAACTTACACATAAAAAGAAAAATTCCATTAGTGCTAAGAGCAATGAAGAAAGGAAGGGGCACTGGAATGAAGATGGGGGAAGGGGCTACTTTAACCAGGATGGTCAAGGGTGAAGCCCTTAAAGAGGCAGCATTTGAGCTGAGACCTGAGTTTTATAAAGGAGCCAGCCAGCTCTGAGGGAAGAGCATCCCGCACACAGGGAACGACAAGTACGAAGACCCAAGACGGGAGAGGGGCTGCCGTGTTCTAGGGGCCAGAGGAAGCCCAGAGCGGATGCAGCCCAGTTAGTGACACGGAGCTGAAGAGGCTGGAGAGGCCAAATCATGAAAAGCCTTGAAGGCCACGGAAAGGTGTTTGGATTCTATTATAACTGAAATGGGAAGCCCCTGGAGGGTGCTCAAGCAGGACCGCGACATAATTTCATTTCTGTTTTTAGAAAGATCAGCCTGGCCAGTGTGTGGAGAATGAATGGTAGAGGTGCAAGAGCTGAGAGCCCGGAGTCTGCCCCGCAGCCCATGGCCGGGCCCGGCAGGGCCTCGGGGAGAGTCATCCCCCCAGCGCGGCAGGGCCCTCGGCCTGAGGGGGGCGGGCTGGGAGAAAACAGGTGGTGTGGAAGTGGGCTTTTTTTTTTTTTTACTCTGAAGATAAACGGAGAAATGGGGCCACAGATGGACACGGTTTCTGTCTGGGCTGCTTCTGAATTATTGCTATGGGATGTTTATATGATAATCATCTCAAAGAGGCAGGAAAGAATGATGAGCTGAAGGTGCCTCTAGGAGCAGAGCAGAGGAGCTGAGACTCGGGGCGCAGTGGAGCAGGCGCAGCTCTTTCTCTGTAACAGGAGGTGAGGGAAAGTAAAGAACAGGGGTACAGGTGCTGCAGACAGGCTCGGCTGTTTCTTCCTTTAACTGCATCCGTATTTCCTCAATGAAATATGATTCACACAGCAATTCAGTGAGGGAGCTGGGATTCAGAGGAAAGAAACTGTCTAGATAGATGAAGGGAACAATATACACAAACAGATCCAAATGCACACTATAGTGTGTAATAAAGGTGGCATTTCAAATGGAGGGTGGCGGAGGGAAGCAGGGAGGATAATGCAATGAACGGTACTGGGACAACTGGTGAGCCACCCGGAAAACAAAAAGTGGGACCCATTCTCCTCACACCAGTGTAAAGTGTAAGTGGGCCAAGGATTTAAATGATAAAATGAAATCACAAAGGACCAGGAAAAAAACCTCACAAAAAATTTTGTTTTATAAGTTTAGAACAGGAAAGGCATAAAGTATTATATAACACTCAAGTCATAAAGTAACTCTGTTATATTTTACTACTGCAAACAATTTCTACATTGTGAAATCTTCTATAAGCAAAGTAAAAAGATAAAGATTAATTGAGGAAAATATTTGCAATTCAAAGGTAAGAGATAACTTCCCTATATAAAAAGTTACTTTAGGATCAACAACCATAAGAAAAATGGGCAAAAAATATGACTTGCCACAGAAAGGGAAATACAAGTGGTTCTGACATGCTCAACCCTAGACTGGGGCACCCTTGTTTTAACCCATCAGATTGATAACAGCATGTCTTTCAGGGCCAGCAAACTAAAGCCCCCTTGGCCTGCTTTGACGTACGGTCTGTGGCTAAAAATGGTGTTATGTTTTTGAAGGGTTATAAACAAAACAAAACCAAGAAGAATATGCAATGGAGAATGTATGTGGCCCACAAGTCTAAAATGTGCACTTTCTGCCCCGTACAGAAAAAGCGTGTCCCTCCCAGCTGTAGACAAACAAACATACTCATTCACTGCAGGGGAAGTGTGAACTGGAAATACTGAATAAGGAACGATAAAACCCAATACTCTTTACCTACTGATATGGGGGAGGGGGGCAAAGATACTGTTAAAGCGGAAAAAACAAAATATAGAACACTGAACCTTGTATGCTATGAACTACACAAAAAGATGAGAAAAAAAGGATTATTTAGAAGCTTACTTGTTTATAAATCTGAAAGGCTATATAACAAATGGTAACACAGGGTTGCCTATGAGGATGGAAATGAAGTCACTGGTGGAAAGACGTGAGATTATGGCTTTTTTGCTAATTACCACTTTGATTTTTGTATTATGTGAACATGTAACTTGTTTTTAAAACTAGTCATAAAATAAATGAATAACATAAGCTGGTTTCTTTCCTGCACTCACTTGGCAAAAGTGCCATTAACGACTTTCTTGGCACCTTAAGGAACTGGAGGACTGAACCTGAATTTTAATTGAAATATGACTTCTCCACGTATGTGTATGTTTACGTTTTCCCCCTTCAAATAACAAGATAGGGATCCTTGAATTCTAACTTGTTTGGCTTATTTGGTTCCTCAATTATGTTCCACCTTTTACAGTTCAAAAAAATCTTTTAAATTACACAATCCCCCTACCCCTTTTTGGGTAACATTACATCCCCATGACTTACTTATTTTATAACTGGAAGTGTGGAAGTGAGTACCTTTTGACCCTCTCCATCCATTCTGCTTCCCAACCCCTATCCTGGCAACGACCAACCTGTTCTCTGTATTGATAAGCTTGGTTTTCTTTCTTCTCCTCTTTTTAGATTCCACACATAAGTGAAATGATATGGTATTTGTATTTCTCTGTCTGACTCATTTCACTTAGCATAACGCTCTCAAGGTCCATCCATGTCATAAATGGCAAGATTTCATTTTTAATGGCTGAATAATATTCCACTGTATATATGTGCCACATTTTCTTTATCCATTCATCTACTGATGGACTAAGGTTGCTTCCATGTCTTGGCTACTGTAAATAATGCTGCAATGGACATGGTGTATATATCTTTTTGAGTTACTGTTTTCATTTTCTTTGGGTTAATGCCCAGAAGTGGAGCTACTAGATCATATAGTAGCTCTGTTTCAAAAGTGGTGTCCTAGAATAAAAGAATCTACTTCGTTATGGGTGGGCTTCAAGTTTTCAACCTTACTGGTTTTCTCTGCGTCATCCAGAAACCAGACACCTACACCATACTCACAATGTTGATTTAAATTATAAATTACCTGGCTTTTCCTTCCTCTCTCCCTCCCTCCCTTTGTCCTCCCCTTCCTCCATTAACAAATATATTGAGTGTCCACCTTATTATGTAAGGGACAGTTCTAGATGCTGGGGATACGGACTTGAATTCCATAGGCCTAGGTCCCTGCCCTCATATGTTCAGTTAACAGGTATCCATACAATATTAAGTTTCCTATTGCTGCTATAACAAATACCACACATTTATAGGGGCTTAAGACAAAGTTTATCATCTTACAGTTCGTGTTGCCAGAAGTCCAAAATGAATCTTAAGGGGCTAAAATCATGGTGTCAGCAGGGCGGGCCCCTTCTGGAGGCTCGGGAAGAACCTGTGTGAGCGGCTTCCCTGGGCTCCTGGCTGCGTCACTGCAACCTCTACTTCTGTGGTCATCCATCCTTCTCCCCTCCTGCAGTCCAACCTTGCTCCGCCTCCCTCTTATAAGGAGACTCGTGATTACATTTATCTGACAAGGATAATCCAGAAAAATCATCCTCAAATCCACCTGCAAAGTCCCCTTTGCTGCAGAAGGTAATATTCACAGATTATGGGGACCAGGACATGAGTATCTTGTTGGGCCACCGTTCAGCCTGCACCACACAGGAGGAAGTGGGTCGAGGTGCTTCAGACCCCAAATCTCCAACCCAAACTCTAAGCTCTCCATTTTAAACTTTATGAAAATTTCTAAGAAACTTCAATCTAGTTGTCCAATACTCAATAAGGAATACTACCAAGTAAGATATCAAACACTCCTTGCCTACTAATAAAACAAACAAAAAAAACCCAATGATCTTTGTATTTCCAGAACTCATTATTACCTTTTTTAGACTTTCATAATAAAGATGCTCATTATTAGACTTTAGTTTAATCAAACTATAAGCTGGTAAAAGTTCTTACGGAGAGATTCCTTGTAAATAAAGAAGCATCTGCCTCCCCTCCAATCTGTATGGTGCATTAAAGGTTATGATCATGAAAGTTCAGTTTCTATCAAATCATTACAAACCATTACTAAGCATAAGTAGGTACAGGGTCAATACCTGCTCGATAAAGGAAGTTAGTATAAAATGAACAATTTTAGAAGAGTTAGAATATGCTTGACCAAGAAAGCAAGACACACAATTCTATTTTTAAAGGGATCTGAGACTATTTAGGTTAATTATCAGGCACAGATAGTATCACTGGCATATTTTCCCAACCATTTAAAGAACAGGTATTAATACTGTTTAATGTTTCACAGCATACGGAAAGTCTCCAAATTCTTTTTTGGGAGCTAGTTTAACATTGACGCAAAGTTCCCAACAAAGACAGACTAAAGGAAAAACAGACTGACCAACCTATTGTGTAAATATGGTGTGAACATTCTGAATAAAACTGACACAACACTGTAAACTGACTATATCTCAATTAAAAAAAAATCTGAATAAAAAATGTTAGAATCCAGCACGTTAAAAGAATAAGCCAAAGTGATCAGGTGGGATTCAACCAAGAATGCAAGGATGGCTTTCTTTTTTAGAAGTCAGTGTAAGTCTTCATATTAATAGATGACAAAACTCATCGGTTATCTCTACATGACTGGAATGATATTTGATAGAAATCAAAGTCCACTGCTTGTGATTTCAGACCAAAGGAATCAACTGAAAAATTACTATAAACAAGAGATTTCAAAGGGAAATGATTATATAATCAATATGTTATGTAAAAAAAAATTTCTTTTCAAATAACCAGTCAGAATATATAATGGAAGAAAAGACTCATTTGACAACAAGACTCAGCAAGAGTACATGACTAAGCATAAAATGACATGAAATATGTAAGATACACATGAAGACAATAATGATACTTAGGTAACATAAAGGGTGACGTGAATAAATGAAAGTAGACCCTGTTCTCGGGACAAGAAGATTATATATTGGTAAAGGCACAAAACTCTGATAATAAAAAACGCCCATTAATTTCTAATATATAAAAACTTCTTCACAGTAAAACATTTTTGACCCCTGATTGAGTCAAAAGATTAAGGACCTGCCTTAGATCATCTGATCTATCTCCTAATGACCCTTAAATTTATGAAGGTAATCTCTGGTGTTGAAAACTGGCTTTAACTTTTTCTTTAAAGGCACGTTGATTTACATACAATAAAATCACCCTTTTACTGAGTTTTGATCAATGTATACAGTCACGTTACCACCACCACAACCAAGACACAGAACATTTCCAGCACCCCCACAGGGTTTCCTCTTACCCCTCCGCAGTCAGTCTCCTCCCCTCACCCCATCCAGAGGCAGCCACTGATCTGGTTTCAGTTTTTATGGTTCTGCCTTTTCCAGAACGTTACATGAATGGATCATATTTACATCAGAATGTAAAGGCTACCTTTTGTGCCTGTTCTTTCAACTAGCTAAGGCTTTAGAGATATATTTGTATTGCAACACGTAGCAGTAGCACATGCATCTCGCTCTCTCTTTTTTTAATTGTTGGCTAGTATTCTGTTATCTGGAGGTAGCATAATTTAACCATTCACATTTATTTGGACTGTTTCCATTTTTTAAATTTTATGAATAAAGAAGCTACAAACGTGTGTGTACAGGTCTCTGTATACATATATGTCCTCATTTCTCTTGGATGAATACCTAGGAGTGGGATTGCTAACTTGTAATGGTCAGTACGCGTTTAAACGCTTTTCAAAGTGGCTGCACCTTTCTGCATATCCACCAGGTATGAGGTTTACAGTTGTTCCACATCCTAGTAGTCACAGCCATGGTCTTTTAATTTTAGGCAGTCTATTGGACGTGTAGTGATATTACACTGTGGGTTTAATTTGCATTCTCCTAATGACTAATCATGCTGGGCATCTTTTAATGTGGTTATTTGCCATCTATGTCTTTGGAATTCAAATCTTTCACTCATTTTTTAAAAAACTGGGTTTTTAAGTGAGTTTTAAGAGTTCTTTACATATTGTGGAATCAAATCCTTTACCAGAGACATATTTTGAAAATATTTTCTCCCAGTCTGTGGTTTATGTTTCCACTTTCTTAACACGGTTTTTTGAAGAACAGAAGCTTTTAATTTTGACGAAGTCCAATTTTCAATTTTTTCTTTACGTTTCATGCTTTTTAGGTCCTAATGTTCGACAAATTTTAAATGACAAAGAAGCCACTTCACTTTGAATATTTATGAACAAAATCTTAATATTTAGTTATTAATTATTAAAAAGAGAAAACTGAAGTCAGTCCAGGAGAAACATAATAAGTCGTAAGTAACACCCTAAACTCTTAGAAGGGCCTCCTTCATTTGAAGGTATGCAATCAGCTCAAAAGGAGAAACAATCAAAGTCAGAAAGTCCCTGAGGCAGTGTCTTCCTTCTAAAACATAATATATAATATATAATATTATAACTTAATATTTTCCAATTACCCAAACTGCACTGAGTAAGAATACAAAATTATAATAAAGACTGAACTAAAGAAAATCATATTGTTTTAAGGGTACAGTTGAAAACTGCTTAAAGATGGCTTAACAATTTGCCTTGTCTACATAATAAAATTTATTTTTATGACTTGCCAGACATGCTGTCAGACATCAAAGCATAGACTCTTAAAATCATGGGGGGGCTCAAACTACTTATCTCCTTGGGTCTCAGGCTGTTTGCAAAAACTACGGTTAGGATGAATAAAACAGCACTTGTAAGATGTTTAAATACACAAAGTATGTGTAACGTAAACATTTAGGCATCTTTTCAGAAGAGCCTACTTTCATATGCGGCATATATTCAGCCACCAGTCAGTATAAAATTAGTATCAGCAGCACAAAGGTAAAGCCCTCACCGCAGTTAAAACTAATTAAGAATTCCCAGAACTCAGGAGGAAGTCATGGCTAAGCTGAGCTTGAAAGACAAAGCATCAGCAGACCGGGGACCCTGTGGGTGGCGGTGAGAGACGAAGCTGTAAGAAGGGAAAAGGGCCAGAAACAGAAGTTTACATACCAGCAATTTAGATTTTTTTTATCCATAGAGCAAAGAGAGCCACCAGGAGTTTTTAAGTGAGAGACTAAGACTCAGAAGGTAGGAAGCGCAGGTGGAAGGCTAGAGGGCAACCATGACTTGAGTCTGGAGGAGGGAGAAGACGGGGATGGATCGGAGACAAGAAAAAAGCGCCAACCAAATCTGGGGATAGATTAGATGTGCTGGGTGAAGGGACAGTTCAAGCCAAACTACTCAACTTCCTGGCTCACGTGGATGTGAGTAAGGAAAGGAAGAGGAACAGGCAGCCTTTTTAGGGGGATGGGAGGTGAAAAGAGCTGGTGCAAAGAAATGATGGAAATCCATACTGGTCTTTTAATAGATCAGAATATTTTAAAAGGAGAATGTAAGGAAAGCCTAAGTATAAGCAGTTTTCTTACCCCAGTCCCAGAGGTTTGACTACCACGCTATGACTTGACTTCAGCAACGCTGAGAAATAAGTAACAGGGCGGAACCTGCAAGGCGGAAGAGAAAAGAACTGATTAACTACTATTTACAGCTATTTTAACATTTGTCTTTGAACCCTAAATGTGCTTTTAAAATAAGATTATGTAGTTCAGAAAAACATTTAATAAAAGAAATAAAAGTATAAAACAAAAGAAAAACAGAAAAACATTGAATACTTATTAATGGTAAAGAATATACATTTTGCTTCTATATTCCTATGCTGACTCTGGCAAGATATATAATAATCTTTTGCATTCTGAACCACATGAATGTTTTAAATTTGAAAATTCAATACATGCTATTTATTAAACTTACCAGCTACAAAATTGGAAGAAGTGATATTCAAAGCTTGAATGCTTAAGAGATCTAATAAAAAGTATAATTTATGTAATTTACACCTGCTTTAGATTCTACTGCATCTGAGCTATAAATTAGGTGTTTATATACTTTGTTATTTTCAGTTTCTCTTGTTGATATATTTATAAACCTGACATTGTCTATGAAAACTGTGCTGATTTTAAAAAGTGGAACCAGAAAAAAAAATAATTGAATTAACCATGCCTGAATGATCCAACATTTAAAAATGAATAGGGTATTTGATTAACTGAACAAGCCTTATATCAAACTACGTATTAGGAGAAATACGGACAAAAAGTTTCACAGTAAACAGTGATTAGCAAACAAAATCTTTTAAAAGAATCTAAGTATGGCCTCTGGTTTACATGAAGACATCTGTTAAATTCCTGTTTTGGATGCAAGTTTCATTAACTTAGCACTCTTTGCACAGTGGCTTCCCTGGTCTTCGGTTTGCTTTTGGATTTCCTTTGTTTTTTCTTTTTCCCCCCTATACTCATTTTCTGAGTCAACATACATTTATTAAGAGTTAGATACTGTGCTAGGCTTTGGGAGGAGGTGGTGGGTGGGTACACAGATGAGCAAGTCAGAATCCCTGACTTTAAGATCTTACAGTCCAGGACAAAGATGTGGGGGAGGAGGTTATTAAGTTGTAACCCACAAGTTCTCCTTCTAAACCCCTTTCCACTTGAGTCACACTTGCTTTTTCTACCTTGCTTTGTTGACTTCATATCTGCGATGTTTAACCCTATCATCCTGGAGATGTAGAGCAGTTTACCTATCAAATCTTGTAATTAAAGACATTACAGCTGTTTAGAATTCTTCAATATTATAATGGATAACCATTTATTTCTACATTTAAAATGCTTTTCATGAGGTAGATTTTAAGGAATGAAAATGAATGAATTGTTTAAGGTTTATCAGACATACTGTCCGAATGCTTTTCAAAAGTCTGTTCACAACATTCCTATTAGCAACAGGCATTATTAAAAAAAAAAAAGCCCTGCTAATTATATACTGGAAAGAAGATTTCATTATTTCTAACTACATCTCTGATTACATGATGAGGGTGAATATTTTTTCCACGTATTTATTTATTTTGGGAATTCATATCCTTTACTAACCTGGCAATAGTATATCATATTACATTTTTGATATTTTCAAGTCGCTACTGGCTAGGCTCTCCTTTCTCCTGCTTTCCCAGTCCACTGTAGCAGGTTTCTTCTGTTGCTGGGTAGATCTGCTTCTCACAACGGATCAGGAGAGGTCATAGACTCTACGCTGTTGGCATTTTAATGGACATACTTTACTTCAGGGTTCATGGGCAAGAATAGGTTGACAGGTAGGTAGGATCTTTCTTCAAATATCAAAATGAGGAGAGTCTTCCCTGGGACACTAACTCTTACACTAGAACTCCTAGTCCTCAGGCTGAGAGTATAAAGAGGTTTTTTTGAAAGCAGATTTTCAAAATTAGCAGGGTAACCAACGTGCTGTAATCTTTGTCTGGGTTGAGTGAGTGGGCTGGATAGCCAGTTAGCTCTTAATATGTCCTCCTTTAATTAATACCATGTCCTTTCAACTCTCTGCGCTCTGTTCCTACTGACTCGAGTCTAAAGTCTCTTCAGGACTCTATGGAGAAAAACAGACTCCACATGCAGCCTCCCTCATGGGTATGCTGGGCTGGGGCTTCCTCCACTCTGGTTCACCCATCAGCGCCATCTGTTTTCTGTCTCCTGGAAAGTCTCTGCTTTGCTGATGGTCACTCCATCTGTTCCCATTCTCAGTTATGAATTTACAAATTTCTGCCTGTAAAATTTTTTCCCCTCTGTCATTTCACAGGGAGTTGGGGCTACAGAGGAACAGGGCACATTAATTTATTCTATTGGCTTTCACAGTAAATGAGTTACAATCCAGAGCTGACTTGACTTGGAATCTCCAAATATTTCAAATTTAGAAATTATGAAAATCTCTATTAAACACATCTAATTAAAATTAGCCTAAGTTTTTTTTGTACGGCAAAGAAAACCATCGACAAAACAAAAAAGACAACCCACAGAATTGGAGAAAATACTTGCAAATGACGACCAGTAAGAGATTAATATACAACATATATAAATAGCTCACACAACTCAACATCAAGCAAACAACCTGATTAAAAAATGGGCAGAAGAACTGAATAGACATTTTTCCAAAGAGGAAATGTAGATGGCCAACAGGCACATGAAAAGATGCTCAACGTCACTAATCAACAAGGAAATGCAAATCAAAACCACAATGATATTACCTCACACCTGTCAGAATGGCTAGCATCAAAACGAACACAAATAATAAATGTTGGCGAGGATGTGGAGAAAAGGAAACACTCGTACACCACTGATGGGAATGTAAACTGGTGCAGCCACTGTGGAAAACAATATGGAAGTTTCTCAAAAAAGTAAAATTAGAACTACCATATGACCCAGCAATTCCACTGGATATATATCTGAAAAAAATGAAAACACTAATTCAAAAAGATACATACACCCCAATGTTCACACAACATTATTTACAACAGCCAAGATATAGAAGCAACCTAAGTGTCCATCAACAGATGAATGGATAAAGATGTGGTGTGTGTGTGTGTGTGTGTGTGTGTGTTATATATATATATATATGAATTCACAATATGAATATATGTGAATATATAGGAATACTACTCAGTCATAAAAAAGGAACAACATGGATGGACTTGGGGGGGTATTACGCAAAGTGAAGTAAGTTGGACAGAGAAAGACAAATACTGTATGATATCACTTATATGTGGAATCTAAAAAAATACAACTAGAGAATATAACAAAAAAGAAGCAGACTCACAGATATTGAAAACTAGTGGTTACCAGTGGAGAAAGGGAAGCAAAAAGGGACAAGATAGGGGTAGGAAAATAAGAGGTACAAACTATTATGTATAAAATAAGCTACAAGGATGTATTTTACAACATGGGGAATATAGTAAATATTTTACAATAATTATAAAGGGAGTATAACCTTTAAAAATTATGAATCACTATACTGCACACCTGTAACTTATATAATAATTTCAATAAATTAAATTAAATTAAATTAAATTTCAATTTAAAAACTTAGCCTGCATTTTAAAGAATACAATTTATTCGGTACTAGTTATAAGAATAAATCAGTTTTCTGATGTTGACTGAAGAAAAATGTACCAGCTAAAGTTGTCAGTTATATTTTATTCGGGGAACCTTACTGAGGATGACAGCACAGGAGATGGCCTCTCAAAGGGCTCTGAGGAACTGTTCCAGAGGTAAGGGAGGAGCCAGGGTAAATAGGAGCTTTTGCTGGGAAAAAACAACAAAAACCCTGCCAATCACAAAAAACAGACACCTCAAGTTAATGATTTTAGTGCTTTTCTATGTATGGGAAGATGCAAGAGTCTGGGCTGTTGAAATTAACTCCTTAGATATGCATCTCAACTCTCTAGGGCCAGTATCTAGTTCTTCTCCATCCGGAATTCCAGAATCCCCCTCAGGGCACACGGTGGCTGATGGCTTCCTGACCTTCGCTGTTTACTGCAATGACAGGCAACATTCTTTTGTCTGCACTGATACACGTGATCAAAGAATCGTCTATAAGGAAGAAATTAGGATTAGGCAGTAACTGGCATAAAAAGGAGTGGGAGTGAGGCACAAGGCGGAGAGAAGCGAAGGGAGAGCCAGCAGTGTTCACTGCCACAGAGAAGGGTTGAAATGATTTATTTTTAACGTCTTCTTTATAGCACTGGGACAGGTTAGCTGGAACTCAAAATTTATAAGGGAACATATCAATCGGTCATGGCCCTGCAAATTAAGTACTGAAACTGTTTTAACAAACCAGGAACTTAAGGCTAACGATTAACTACAGCAACAAAGAAAATCCCCTTTGTGCCAACTAACCTTTACTGCAGCTCTTTAGATCACCTGCTGAGTTTCTTTGCCGAAGAGTGGTTAAATAGCCAATTCTTTTTAAGGAATAACAAGGTGCTGCTAAAAAACCGGAAAGAAAGAAAATACAAACTAATAACCTTTGAAATTCTGACTTGCTATGCATGGCACCATGCACTCTCCAGCCAGGTCACCCTCTTAGTACGCCCTACAAGATGCTCACTGTCAAGGACGGCACAGCAGATATATAGGAAATGTCACTTTTTAAATTAAAAACCTCCTCTGACAATGAATTCAAGAAATATATTATCTCAGCTTATATTTAATGACAACTTGAATATTATCGGTTAAATTCTCCTTTGCAAATTTGTTTATTACAGGTTCACCTCCAAGGGCTATCCTGAATGCTGCTGAGTACTTCTATTCTTACCATTAGTGTGAGTCACCCGCCATGCACGTGGGGGACCTGAGCTCCCCCTCCCTCAGCAATTTGTCATGATCATAAAAGTAACGTGCTCATCATACATAACAGAGAGAGTAAAGAGAAGAGGGGAAAAGTCACTTGTGTGTTCCTATCACCTAGTGTTAGTATTTTTCAACGTTTATCTTCTTCTAAGGACTATCTTAAACAAAACATTCAGTCATATGGTTCAAGAAGCTGGGAAAAAAATTACAGGGAAAGCAGAAAAGAAGAGAAAAAAGGAGATATAAAAAATCACAATGCCTGGAGATGG